TATTAAAATTTTTTAAAAACTTATTAAAATTTTAAATATGCAGGCAAATTTGCCTGCATTACAATTTAAGGGATAATTAAAAAAATTCTAATATCTGTTTTTTTATATTCTTAAAAATATCAAATATCAATATATGAAGATATTTGATTTAAACAAGACAATTAATAAACAATAAAACAAATTTAACAATAAGATTGAAAACAAGATTTAAAGTTTAAAATTTCAAAAAAATAAAAAATAAAACCTTATTATAAAACAAAAAACATATTAAATCAAATCTTTCAAATTCCAATTCTATAAAATAAATTAAAAACAATAATAATCTTAATAATATTTAAATAGTTTTTTATTATAAAAAATTTTTTTAAAAAATATTAAAGATACAATAATAAAATATAACAAAATAAAAAAAATATCCAATCAAGCTTTATAAAAATCTTTACAAATTATAAAAAAAAATAAAGAAATATTTAATGCCAATAAAAATATTTTTGTTATTATAATAATTAGCATTTCAAACCAGCATTAAAATAATATTGTCAAAAATCTTAATAGCAACTTAACAATTTGATATTTAAAATTATAATCAATTCAACACTATCAAATATCAAAACAAATTTATACAACCAACTTATTATACAATGATCAGCATAAAAAAACCTATTTAGTAACAACAATACTAAAAAAACTAATTATCACATTAGTCATTAATTATATTAATAACTATAACAACAAATTAAAATCCAGGTAACATGTTAACAATAAATAAAATTCTTTTGAAATTGTTTTTTTTTGAATTGGCAAAAGAATCGGCCAAAAAATGGATTGTAAAGCTTTTTTTTATTTTAATTAATAGAAGTTTTGCAAACCTTATTTTCTTAAAAACTTTTTTAAATAAATTGTTTAACTTTATATATACAGTATATGTATATTTCTGATAAATCAAGTAACATTGATCTTACATATGATAGATCTTTTGTTTAAAAGTTTTTTCTTAAGATTTATTAAAAGAATAATATTTTTAAAAATGGTGATAAGAATTAAAAATACATGTGCTGTATATTTTTAAAGAATTAATTAAAATAATATCCTTGAGACAAATACAGTAAGCATGCCCAAGATGTGTAACTTACTTATTATTTATTATCATTATTGTTCAAAAAGACATACTGTAAGACAGCTTGTTAAAATAATATGCAGCACGTGCCCTAATTATTATTTCCATCACCAAGACATTTTGATAAAGAAGTGGAAACGTTGAAAAACGAAATTTACCAATTTATTGAACAATAATCGATTATTCTAAACAGTAAATAATCTGCACGTGAAAGTGTGCACAGAAAATGGTGCAACAAAATAAGATTCCAGAGACGTTTTACAATAAAGGAATAAAGTTATGTCAGAGTAGCAAAACGCATCGCATCCCTCATGATTATTCCGAGTCAACAAGTATCAAATATTTTTAAATTGAATAAAAAATAAAGTAAAGTAAATAACCGCGATTTTAAGAGACAAATTTCTCGAAAAGAATAAAAGTCACATGTTTAACCGCGCTCATTCCTGTAGAGAAATAAGAAAGAAAACCGTTAGGCATGTTTGTGAAACATTAAATAGAGTTAAACTAAAATACCTAATAATATCGGAAGCTTCGATCGCAATAAGTTTATAAGCTTCTTTGACACGTCTCGTCTCTCGCGACCAATGAAAACTTGCGATGGTAGATACCGCCGTGTGAGAAAGGGTCGGACTTTGTGCGTTTATCATCCGACTACAAGAAAGGCGATAGGCAAGGAAAGCTGTGCAACATTTACGGACTTTCATAGTATTAGCGAGATCCCGTGCCACTATTCTAGGAGGGAATGGCGGTCTGGAAGGAGCGTTTAGCTGAGTCATCCTTTGACAGCAGGCGAGCGCCGTTGGAGGATGAGGGGAGGAGGGGGTAAGTGAGGCTAGGGGATAAGTGAGGCTCTGCGAAAAAACCTCAACCTTTATGTACAGAACGATAAAGACTTGACCGAATAACGGAAGAAAGCGTTAAAAGAAAAAACCGGAGAGTCACTTTTACGGATCCTCAACTTGAAACTTTGGTGAAAACGTAATATAATGGCCACAATTTATTTCCGGCAACGAACGGTAAATAAGAGAGAAAATGGGAGAGGAGGATAACGAAAAGAAATTTCAAAAATAATTTTGAAGAAAGCTCGTACTACGGTATTCGCAATACTTGACGAATAAGAAACTTTCGTTGGCGAAAGAGGAAGATATTAAATTTTTATGCATGACAAGGTTTATTCGGGATGCAAACGATTAATATAAAATGCAGTTACTATTGTCTTTTCCTATGGTCGAGATGAGCTCTTATTGGATGAACGACCAAAGATCTTCCATCATGGTGTTAACTCGAGAAATTAATCCAGCCGTTCACAAGTTATGACAGAAAATAGTGACGATGATCATTAGCTTGCATAAACCTTCGCACATCAAATTAAAGTTTGAAACCTCCTCGAATATCAGGTCGACATTTCCTTTCCGCATTTGTCACCAATTACCATAAAAGCCATTGTCCTTTTGTCAAACTTGTTTGCAAATCAAAGATAAACAATACGAACTATTACCAGTACATTTCATCACGTGAGACATTTGATTGAAAATCCATAGCTAACAGGGAAAGCATTATACTGTACTCTGTATGACGAAAGCAGCACCTTAATTTTTGAATACTAAGCGCTCCTCATAAAATCGAAGTAACTGATTATAGTGCGTGTGATTTCAAATTTCAACGTCGATACATGTACGCAAAACAAAATGATAATAATTTAAGTAATTGTTATACCTTGCAAGGGCATCTCTTATGCACTTCGTTGGCCCCATGGTAACTATTTGTGCCGTCGTTCCTGTACGTGACCAAAGAATATGAGAATCTAATCATGACATAGTTTATCGTGTCTTTACAAAATATTTCGTACCAATTTATCCAAATCACTAGTTCACCGGTGTCGTCATCGACAAAAACATTTCCGATTGTAGCCTTGGTTTCCCAATCCTCGGTTTCAACCGGGGAAATTTGTCGATCACCGAGCTGGGATTTAACCGTCAGGGAATCTTGGTGAGGCTTATTAATATCACGAGTCCATTGAGGCACGTTGATTTCATTTCGAGGTGAATCAGTGGTATTGTTGTCAACGCCAAAGTCGCCGATGTTTCCTGCAGAAATCGCGATGCCTTGATCTTCGCCGTCGTTCGCAAACTTCTTCGAATTTCTGCGTTTCTTCTGACGACTTTCCCAATAATTTTCAACCAATTCTGTAGCATAACTATCATGGTGTAATAGTAGTTAGTTTAGGGAACGTCAAAATCATAGGACAAAGGATTTAGGCTAAGGATTAAAGAAAGCTGCACGTCGTTTGCGTCTTCCCAACTGTTTTGTTCAGGACCAAAACCTTCCCACTTGATCAAGTATCGTAAAGTTCCCTTGAAATCAAAGAGTCGTCATGAGAAAGTTGACCAAAGAATTTCACAAAGCAAAAATTGGGATATAATATTCACGTCTCTCTTTCTCTTGTGCGAAATGATCTTCTCGACGACGAAAATATCTTCGTTCTCATTTAATTGTGTAGGATCAACCGATCCGTCTAAGGCAAAATTGCTGGTGTTGTTGCCTTCTCGGATGTCGGAATCAATCATATTTTAAAATATTTCAAAATCAAACGAGTCAGATAAAGTGAGAAAACAGATGAGATGACACATAAGTATTAAAAAATACTTAATAAAGTTTATTAATAATATCTTATTTGACAATCACGTGATTACTATATTACATATTTTTTATGAGCGAAGAACAGGTAGAGTAGGTGCCGTTGAAACAAAATTTCATAGAGTTGTTTTTTTGTAAGTTAAATATGAATCGAATCGAGTGAAGGAACGTTAAGAAATATAATTTCGAAAACGAATTTTTAAAACCAGTTTTAACTAGGGATTATAATACGAAAAATACGATCGCGTGTTTGAATAATCGAAATATCTTTGCAAAGATTAATACTGTATATAAATAGTACAAAAGAAATAAACATAAAGAACCGGAAAAAAGAAAAAAAAAGACGCCCGCCGAAAACAAAAGACCGAAAAGAAAAAAAACTCCGTCGAAAAGCGAAAAATCGAAAAACAGGAAAAAAATCGAATGAATGAAATTTTTTTTTTTTTTTTAAAAAAAAAAAACACATTCCTTAATATATCTTCGATATCTTCGTGTATTGTTGGAGTGAATAATCTTCCGAAGAATAATTTTTATATTGAAGACCTTTTCTTCGGCAACTCCGTTTACGTGTGATAACATGTTTGGCATTACCCCTAAGTTGTTTGGCTTTGTCGAAATAGGGTTGACGAGAGTTTCCACTCATCGAATTCCAGAACGCAGCCACTTCTGAAGTGATTCTTCGACCATCGGGATCCTCCGATTCTCGGTATTCTTGGTAGAACAAGATGTATGGATTAACTGCTTTTTCTTCTTCTTTTCCAAGGTTTTTTTTTTTTTTTTTTTCTTTAGGCATTTTTTTTTTTCGAATCCTTGGTTCTAGGAATGAGGTATTTATACCTTAGAGGAATGATGTTCGGAATTCAAAAGATTTTGTTTTTTTCTAAAAAACCTATTAATCCAAATTAATTGTACGAAGCATATTCAATCAATCCGAAAGAAGGATTTACAGAGCAAAAAAGCGGACCGGTGTGCATTGAGTTTCCCATTCTTGAATTTCTAATCAAATTTATCCATAGATCAATGGTCTAAAAAACCAAATAAAAGTTGGCGTGTCGAAAAAATCAAAAGGTCCCAAAAACTTGACCTCTTAAAATCGTCAGAGTATGCAGAAATTTTTTCTGTCAAGATTATTTATGTAAATGCAAAATATAGAGAAATGTCCAGAAAAGGTTGTGACAGAATTTGAGCTATACTTCATCTGGATAGCTTTAAAAAAAACGGAATAATCAAGTTGCACGACAAACCAATTATTTCTTAAAAAGACAATCGGGTATGATGTAAGCATATACAAATATGTACACATGAATCACTTACTAACAAATCAATCTCGCGTTTTAACTCATTGTTGAATATGTTCCTTTCTTCTCTTCTCTTCTCACATTATTTTATCTATTTCAAAGTAAAACATTGCGCAGTATGTAATACCGACACTTGTTTTTTTTTCTTTACTACGGAATCCACGCAGGAATTGTTTCGCCTAAGAGGTGCTCTTTAGATCTTGTATATCGACCTTTAATGTAATATGAGGCACGAAAATAAGGAAATGAATTTTAATGTTCCGAGCCTTGATTTCCTTCTAGAGAAGTAGTTTGAGTTACAACGATAATACGTTTCCTTTGTTTTTTGTGCTAGACTTCGCGTCCTTCAATTTCCGTGTTGATAAAAAAGTATGCGTCAATCGAACATTTTAGATGACAAATATAAAAAAGCGTGAAAAACTTACGGTAGGAAGAATCGACTCCTTCAAATATTGATAACCTGTCACTAAAATGAGTCTTTCTCTCACTCACCAGAAGAAAAAAAAATCTAGCGAATGGCTTTTATTTTCAAGTGTATTCTTTTATTTTGCTCAAAAATACTGTAACCCAAAAATCGCAAGAAACGTTTCGGTAAAGTTAGCGAGTTCATTTTGGACAGATGATATTATGGAGCAACAACGAAAGAATTTTTATATTACTCGTGCATACAATAAATTTCATCAAGACCGCAACCCTATCTTCAGTATCCAAGAATTGGATTACGATACCTTGGATGATATCATAACCCCTAATGGATTCAAGGAAATTTTTTCTCACCCATATACGTATGATTATATACCTACTGGTCAGAATATATTTTCGAGTGTGCTTGATCGTTTCGTGCGCCAATATGTCAACCCAAATATCAGTAATGAAAAGTTCTTGGAACTAGCCGACTCACTTTGGTGCATGTTGGAAGAAAAATATAAGCATTCTTACATGACTCTCGCAGAAAGCGCTTTACTGTACGAGAATACCGTCAGGATCTTTGATTTAAACACACTGAATGAAAATATCATTTATTCTACATCCGATAGCAACTTCTATTACTTTGATCCAATCATTTTTTATGATTATACTTTTTATTCTTTTGTCGTCTATGTATCTCCCATGGACAGCGATTCTACACAAATCGTCCCTCAAAACCACGTTACCACAGACAGCGATACTCTTGGTAACCTCATTTTCGGTTCCAACGATGATCTCTTCGAATTGTGACCTTTGTAAAAATACATATACTGTATACCCTTTAGATATCCGTAAAATCCACGTATGATGCAAAATATGAATAGATATAGTAAAATAAGATTTGATCTGTAAATTATTATTATTTTATTGTTGGGGGGAATAATCGGAAGGTAGTTGGCAATCGAATAATCGATAACAATTGAATATGTCAAAAAAATAATTTCGATGATTAAGATTCCTTTTAAGTTTTTAATATCGTTATTTCTTGTAAGATTAATTAAGCTTTTATTTTCTAATTAACAATAACACATACATAACCTTAACAGTTACTATATCTTTAAGCTTTTATAAATATAAGTCAACGAAATAATTTTAGTTTTTCGAACATACTGTATACGCATGTCAACAGAAATAAATAAATTCGTCTTTAAAATGATCAAGAAACAGTTTTACTTGAGTTTTATACAGACAGGGAACCAGCTAAGAAATGAGTAAAATATCTTTTCAATAAATGTTCAACCAATTACACCTGGTCCGGTTCTACAACTAATATGATCATATAACAAAAACCAGTTTAAATATTCAATCAAGTAAAAAAATTATTGAAACTGTTCAAACAAATAAACAATGCAACAACTTTTTACTCGAGAAACATTAAGCTTAATTCTTACTTGTATATTACTTTTTCAATTAATCAAGAAGGATTTAAGGTTTTTTGTTATTTCTTGAATAAAAAATATAAAGTTCCTAGCATAAATACATTAAGAACATTAGTTTTTGATACACATAATAATTGGATCATTAATCTTATTTTTAATAAGATTAAAGAAACTTTAGAATATCTTGCACCTACATTGGACATCTAGATATCTCATGCACACGATTCATATTTAGGAATTACCTTTCATTGGATTTCATCTGAATTCAAGTTATATAAAATTATTTTAGATAGGATTAACTTTCCAGAAACTTTTACTGCAATAGAAATTATCAAAAAATTACATCAAATTAAAAATTTTAATTTAATTCATAAAAGTATTATTATTAATTTGAGATCAAAGTTTTAAATCAAAACCAATTGATTCACAAGTTAGCTTCAATTCAAATTGATTTGATTTTAAAAAACTTTACAGTTACATTTATAAGTATTTGTATTATTCTCATTTATACAAAAATTATATAATTTAAAAATTTTTTTTTATTTAAACCTATTAAATTAAACTAACTATAAGTTTTAATATATTGTATAGTACAACAATTTAATGTTCTGTATTATCCACCAATCATATTGCAAGATTAGTTAAAAAAAAACTTTACTTTTTAAAAAAAATTTTTTTTTAAATTACCAATTGATTTAATTTTTTTTTAAATATATTTAATTTTAATATATATTATATATTATTAATAAGATCTTGATTCAAAAACATTAACAACTGAAAAAGTATATTTATATTTTTTTTTGCTTTCATTTTTTTGCAATTTTTAATTAATACTTAGAATTATTGTTTTTATCTTTTTTCAAAAAACATAAAAACAGATATTAAAAATTCTGCTTATAAATTATAATATATATACTGTATATAATTATTATTAAGATTTTAAAAAAAGTATATTAATTTAACTACTTTTTTTCAAACACATTCACATCTGAATAAAATTATCAAAAAAGAAAGTTAAAAATTTTTCTTCAAAAAAAATTATAAAAACCTTGGAGTCTTTTTCATTCTCCAAAAATCAATTCATTGAATTAACTCACACTTTACTTGGTGTTCTTATTACCAATGTTGACAAATGCCTGATCATAATTTTTCATAAAAACAACAATACCAATATTGTCTATATCACCAATTCCACTGCCAATATTCACCTCCCAAAATTTGAAAACTCTCCAAAAATATAGTTGACACCAGTATATTTCCAGAAAAATGACTGCAAAGTTTTTAAAGTAATCTCAATATCCTTCAAAGTATACAAAAAAAAACTTAAAACCATTATATTAAAGTTAAAACCAATATTTTAGATTATATATCTCTGGAAACAATAAACTCTTTCTTTGAATATCAACATACCTTTTACTTATCTAATAACAATAAAGCTGAAATTATAAAGGAACTCCTTAAACAAAAACTCATATATAAACTTTATGTTTCCTGAAATAAAATTGACATTAATATTGATAAAGCAGCCAAAACTTTCTTCCTGGAGCAAAAAACTGAAATACCCATACCCCTCCAAACACTCCAGTCCTAACTGAAAAAATAATTAACAACAATAATAGTATGCAACTTGATTGTGATAATAAAACAACACATGCACCTACTTCTGAATATAATGCCAATCAAACCAGCCCTCAAGCAAACACAAGCATCATTTCACAGGTGCATGCAGATTATTTCACTAACGAATCCCAATGTATAGACTCACAGGACACACAAACAACCCATACCAATATAGAAATCGATAAGTATCACTTCTTCAACTAATCAGAAGATACTATAGAATCATTCTTCACCTCATGAACTAATAAAACCAACCAACACCTTGAAATAAGCAACAACAATTTCTCTCACAACACAGCAGATATCAAGAGTATTCCAAAATCAAACAAACAAAACAAAATTCTAGAATTGTATAATGAAATTGATTAGTGTAACAGGACAGCCAAGTCCATAATAAAACTCTTTATCAAAATTAAAACCAACCAATTGGAATACCAAGAACCTCACTAAAAAAAATCTTCTCTAAAATCAAATATAAAGACTGCGACTTCTTCAAAACCTTTGCAAGAGATGAGTTAATCAAGGGACAACATCAACAAAAATATGAAAGCTAAAAAAAAAATTCCACAGCAACTATCTAAAAGCAAATAATATGGGTTATATCACCAGAACCACCAGGAAAAAAATCAAACTAATTATCAACAAGACTCTCTTTATAGCATACCTTAGATCTACAGATTTGGCTCTCCTCAAGTATTGATAAGTTACACAACTTCTGAAATATAGCTTTAATTTTTTTATAAACCCTAGCTTAGAAAAAATTGACTATAACAAAATCTATGAAACCTGTGAAAAAATGATCAAGAAAAATCTTTCTAATCTTTCAGAAAATCCGGCTGATATCTCCAAAGCAATAAAAGTACAATTTCCAAAAGCCATACCAATTATTTTTACAAAAAATACAAGCAAGATTGCAGAAAGTCTTAAAGCCTTTTACAACTTCAAACTTCTTCCAACAACATACTTTGCCAAAAAACCTGACCTACCTATTGACCCAAGTGATCTCATACTTATAGGGAAATACAAATTCTCACTAATAGAAAAAGAAGAACTACTAGATCTCAAAATACATGTAAAAAAACTCGGAAAAGACTATTATGTACCTGGAAAACTCTCTGACACATATTTCAATCTTTCACTACCGAAATTAACTCTTCTACTCTCCTATAGGGACTTATCTCTTTACTTAGCAAAACAATTTCCAATAAACAATAGTATTGAGAGCTTCAAAAAAGGAGTCAATTTCCTAAAAAATAACAACTATGCAGTCAAACACTTATCATTAGATTATATAATAGTAAAGCACCCTCTTCTTCCTTCACACTGGTATAGTAAAAATAATGCTGTTCTCCTGCCCATCACTATACAAGATGAAGCAGACAAACTTATAAAGAATCTCAAGTCAAAATTCTTTATAAAACCTTTATTGGGACTTGAATGAATTAACAAAAAACTAACATAATCTGACAAGCCAAAAGTCCCAGCTGAACTAAGTACAGTAGAACAAGAACTTAATATCAACAAAAAACAACTAGACAGAAACTCTCTTGACTTTAGACAAATAATTATCAAGATTAAAAACAACTATACAGATGTAATCCCAAGAGAATAGATTACACCTCTTTTATCAACACTTCCTGATATATATAAAACAAACAAAATCTTAACTGATAAAAACATTCAATTATCAGTATCACTAGTGGATAACCCTTAACTTAATGAAAAAATCAAAATTCTTGATGCCTACTTCCACTTTAACAAATTTTCACAAAACTTCATCACCGAACCTGAGTCACCTGAGCCAAAATTAACTTTCCTTCCAATATTCATCTAACTATGACAGAAGAGCCCAACTTAAACCACTTATTAAAAGCTATCTTATCTAACAATTTATTTACAAACATTACAAATCAATCAGATCCAACCACCAAACACTACTTGCAATCCCTCCTGTTATACAAAAAATCTTATCTCAATTTCAATACTTAATGTTCAAGACCTCAACTCTTAAAAAAAACTTCTCGAGCTAACCAAAAGCATTCCTAATAAAAGAAGTATCCTTTGCTATTTTGAAACTAAGATCACAAAACATAATCCACTACCAAAATCATTAAACAATATTATTATTATCACAAATCTCTCAAGCCAATCAGCATGCAATGGATCTATCATACTTATAATCAAGCCTCTTACTAATCATATCTTAGAAATCTTTGCAATTAATGAGTTCTGGTACACAGTCCATCTTAAATTTAAACCAAAAGTTAATATAATAGTTATTTTATATTATCTACTCCATGACATCGACCAATGCAAAAAGTTAACAAAGTTCCTCAAAAATTTTATTAAAGAATACAACAAAAAACACCTAGTTCTAGCAGGTGATTTTAACTCATATTCCATTACTACTTCTTACATTAATGTCCAAACTTTTCTCCACAAAAAACAAATCTATAGATTTTTTCATAAGTTCACTGACATTGCAAAGGTTACAAACAAGGAATCTCTTTACATATACATTACTACTATTAGTATATTGAGAATTAACCAGATCTGGCTCTTCAACAATCTAGTTAGCAAAATTCTAAGCTACAAGGTCTATATCCAACATCACATTATCACTGATCACAAACAAGTCACTACAATTTTAGATTAGTTTGAATACAAACCTAACAGAATTTCCTTTAACACTAAAACATACAACTTTGTCAAAGCATCATCTGAAAATATCAATGCTTTTCAAGAAGATAT